ATATCAGAGCGAGTTTGAATTTTCGTACGATAGTTTTTCTTTTATTCAAATTAGTTTGATATTTTTAAATAATTGGACCAACATATGAGATTGGACACTAAATCAATACTTTTAGAAATTAATGATAATATAGCAAGAATACTATCATGAAATCAGATTATGCCATGAGATAGAATCCTTGTGCAATCCATTTTAATTTATTTGAGTTGCATCAAACGCTTGATTTTAATCTTGGATTCTCTCGAATATATTTTATTATTTTAAGTAAAAAAAATGAACTCAGAGGAAAGTAAAATACATTTTAATATTTCAAGTTAGAGATGGATATGCACGAGACGGGCTCGTAGAAAGTACTCATAGGGGTATTTATGAAAAATGAAACTTTAGAGGGACGTATTTACCATTTCGCGAATTTACACGGATTTTTGGAATGATGTATTTGCACGAATATTGACGCGAAACTCAGTGATGCTGTGTACCGAAGATCGATCATCGACCGTCCATTTATAATCGATCTTCGATGGGCTGGCCGTTTGGGCTCTATAAATACTCGCTTCCGAACGCTCGCCCCTCCGCCTCTTCCTCCTCGTCCTCTAGGGTTTACGCCGCCGCGCGTTTGCTTGCCTCCCTCTCAACTTCGAGCTCGGGTTCCGGGCGATACAGATCTAATGGCGATCCAGCAGGATGTTAAGCTCTTCAACCGGTGGTCCTTCGATGATGTCGAGGTTAGCTGTCTTCCTTCCCAGCGTTATCACCTTTGGTGCTCGTAATATCTGTTTGATTTTGCGGAATCTGGTGCTTTTCCTATCCTTCTACATGTGGTCAATGTAATTTGAGTATTTTGTTGGATGTGATATGTAAGATCTAATAGGATGAATTGTAGTTTGATGAAGTAGACTTTGTAGCATCTGCATCCCGTTTGAAGTAGTAGCGGCAAGGAAAGGGTGTTTGTCATCGTTATGTTTTTTGCATCAGAGCCGCATTTTCTTTTCGTTTTGTTAAAGGCTGCATCTCGGTGCTCCCCACAGGAGTTTCATCTCTCTCTGAGATGTCTCTCAGTTATAGGATTTTGACGAAAGTCTTCCTCAAGAGGCTATCCTATTTCTCTCATAATAGTACATACTTGGATAAGTAGGTTTAACCATACAAACATATCAAGTATCAGCATTGGTATGCACGAGGAAGTTTTATGAGTTTAGAGAAAAGGAAGCTGTCCTAATAGTTTGTGAATGGTTCACTAAGTGGAAAGGTTAGCAAAATTACATTTGGATGTATGATAAAATGGATGGAAGATAAGGTTCGCTGGTACTTCAGATGAAAGCTTTGATAGAAGCAGCTGTGTGTACAGGAGTTACATCTTTCTGGAATAGTTCTTTGTCTTTGGATTTTTATTATCTTGTTTATGGATAGTCAATCTTGTTGTTCTGGGTTGTTCATGTTATTACAGGTATGGAAGGATAAGTTTGTCTGGACAATTATTTGCATGCATCAGTTACATGTTACCGGAAAGATCAGTAGAAATAGCATTTGTATTCTTGATGAATATTTTAAGAATTTAGAAAAAAGAAGAAATTAGCTATCTGAGAAGTTTGTCAACAATAATCTATTTCTAAAATTAGCTATCTTGAATGGTGATGTTCAAAGGTCTGTGTAAAATTGAATAATCTGGCATTTAACACCAGATAAGCCCATACTTGCATCATTGTTGTGCTGGATTTTTTTCTAATGTTTTTGAGGCTTTGGTGGAAATTCTACTGGTAAATTGCTGTGCTATGATTTGTCATTTTATGTAGATAATGTTCTCGAAGCTACAAGTGTTGCATTTTTGTTAATGATCATTGTGCAAAAAACCAGGATTTTTTAGAAAGTTAATTCAAGTTGTTACTAATAAATAGGCAAGTTTTTTAATTAATATTAATGAATCAGTAGTAGCATGGAGTTGGTCTTCACATTTATGTGCATGTATCTACATACATAAATCAATATAGGATGGAATGTTTTGAGTGTTGATGGTTTATTTTTGCACGTGCAAGTTGAGAACAAGGTCTCAGATTTTGTTTTTTCTTCTCAGTTAATGGGTTACCACAGAACATGTTGATTAATTTGTATGAGTTTTGTAAGCCATGGATTAGAAACAACTTACAACATGCTATTCATTACCTATCAAGAAAAATAGGCAGTCCCTATAAGCAGAGTGGAGGAAAATGATTTAAGTTCATGCCCTTTGGGGGACATATATTATGATAGTAGTTGCTTTGTGAGCTTGGTGGAATATTTAATGGATTGCAGCACTATTCACTGAAATATGGCTTCCAAGGGTCCATAAAACAGGTCTATTCCCTGACAAATTATCAAAATTTTACTAGAAAGATTCAGTTGGTAATAAACATTAAAATTTTGATGATCTTTATTAAAAAAAATTATGCATGAAAGGCTTGTCTTCTTTTCTTTGTATTTGCTTGAAAGAGTCGTATGTGGACCTAAATGTGTAGAGCTTCTGTCATCTGCTTATATAATGAGGATAACATGCCTAATGCGGTATTGCTTCTTGAGAGCATGGTAATGTTGGATAAACTACATATTGCAACAGCCTCATATGGAATAGACGCAGGCCATTTGTGATCATAAGGATTTTGTTTTTATCCTAGTGTTATGCATTCAGGGGTGATTTGCTTTAGGGTGTTAATTAGATTGCAATAAGATGATCAAGTTTAAACTTATTAGTTTTGGCATAAAAAATTTCAGTTTTTATTCCCAAGATTTTTTTATCTAAACTTTGTTTAGTGGATTTATGTTAGTTCCTAGTTACTTCCTATGGTATTGAAATCTACTTGCCTCTTATCATGCAATTCATATTGGATCTTCCTTGATACTATTATGCATTCAGGATTGTGTTAAAACTTCCAAAGCATTCATATTAAATTTTACTTGATACTGTCATGCAATTCATATAGGATATTTTTTGATACTATTATGCAATTCACATCATGTCAAAACTTCCAAAGCATTCACTATTGTCTGCTTTAAATTGATACTATTCTGGATATTTTTCTCCTAGTACTTATGCTGTGGGTACTCAGACTTAGTCCTATTTGTCAAAAAATGCAGGTCAGCGACATCTCCCTTGCAGATTACATTGCCGTCACGCCACCAAAGCATGCGACATATCTTCCACATACGGCAGGAAGATACTCTGCCAAGAGGTTCCGTAAGGCTCAGTGTCCAATTATTGAAAGGTTGACCAATTCCTTGATGATGCATGGTCGTAACAATGGAAAGAAGCTTATGGCTGTTCGTATTGTTAAACATACCATGGAGATAATTCATCTGCTAACCGATGCAAACCCAATCCAAGTTATTGTGGATGCTATCATTAATAGGTAATTGGCCTCTGAGCTATAGTTTTTATCCAAATAAATGAACAACTGTCAACGGTGGAGCAAGTTACATTATTCATACAAGCTATATGTGATGGTTTCTTAATTCTGCATAGAATCGGAAGGATTCACACAGTTTGCAACCAACAGAAGGCATCAAACAGAAGAAAAATAAAAACAAAAGCAGATGTTGGCACCATAGGAAGTCTTCATGCTTGGTTTTCAGAAATTGGTTATGCTCTTTTGTTTTTATAGCCACACTGTTAATTATAGCATCCTAGAGGTTGAAATTTCTCTGTTTATGAGTGCCACAACCATGTTTTTTTAATTGTTGCATTCACATTACAAATAATTTTGGCATTTTAAAGCCCATACTCTTCTAGACTTTTGCTCCTATGCATCAGTTTTTGAAGATGAATGTGGTCTTATGCTGTTATTTTCACATCAGTGGTCCAAGAGAAGATGCAACTCGAATTGGGTCTGCTGGTGTTGTTCGACGTCAGGCAGTTGATATCTCACCATTGAGGCGGGTGAACCAGGCAATTTACCTTCTCACAACTGGTGCTCGTGAAAGCGCTTTCAGGAATATTAAGACCATTGCTGAGTGCCTTGCTGATGAATTAATTAATGCAGCTAAGGGTTCTTCCAACAGGTAGACCATCCAGAACCTTATATTCCTTTACTCTGTGTCCTAGTTTTCTTTTGCTAACAGTTCCATCTCATTGCTGTTCCATGGGTACTTGCTTTTGACAGCTATGCTATCAAGAAGAAGGATGAGATCGAACGTGTTGCCAAGGCAAACCGCTGAGCATTATGGTCATATGCTATGCATTATGGTCTTTTTGTCGTGCTCGCTGTAGGCTTTATATTGTTATCAAAGTCAGCCTGAAGATGATGCCCTTTGAGAATTGTTATTCATGTCTAAATGAGTATTCCTTAGAGACACTTATTTTAGCTAAACAAAAGAGAGGTCCAGTTTGCTGGATTCAGTAACAATTTCAGTTTACTGTGTGGAGCTAAAACATTTCTTTGCTGCTGACGAGCTTTGAAGTGATGGAACCTATTTATCTTGTCACGTCTTCATGGTACTCTCGTGATGGTTTGATTCACTAGTTTTTAAGTTTTTGTGGTTTGATTCTCCAGTTGGTTTGTATATGCTTGAATGGTTTTTCATGTAGCTAGTTTCTTATATTTGAAAATATTGCTCGAGTTTGTGACAACCGGTATTCTTAACAAGCATCTAGTTATTCTCATAATGTGTTTAAAGATCAACGGAATAAAATGGTTTTTTTATTACTGTGCATTTGTGAGTCTGATCAAAATAAACCTAAGATAAATTACAAGGGAAAAGATTCGAAACAAAGGCCAATCTTATTGTTAGCATAATCTCCATCATCAAGCTGGTAGTGTCTTTCAAATAAATATTGTTAGCATTCTAAATAAATCATCATCTACAACTGAAGGTTAATTTTTTTCTTTCTGTTTTTTTGTTTTTGTGTGTTAAAGTGGTGTATCTAATTGTAGCATCCACTCCCTAAAAACTGATGAAGATAAAGGCAGGACGAAGTCATATGTTTTCTGCTTATACACAAGGCCTGGGCACTACTGTATGCGGTGGCCACCTGTTTGCGGACGTTCCGCATATACCCCAAGACGTGTGTTATCTATAATGATGTAAATATGTTGGCACGGCTAATTTAGGATCGCCGAAGAAGGCGATTTCTGTTATTTTGGGCTTCGTTTCTCTCTTGAGGAGGAGAGGAAAGAGGGGACTACGGAAGAAAGAGACAAAGCAAGGAAAGAATCCTCGGCCATGGCGATCCCGAGAGCGTCCTCTTCTCCGCTCCTCCATGTCGTCCTCATCTTGTTGTCCTTACTCTGCTTCGACTCGTCCTATTGCGGGGTTTTGGCCGCCGGTGATGCTTCCCAGGGTGCGGAATCCGCCTCCGCATCCCCCAGCTGCAACCTGACGTCACAAGATGTAAATCCTCGTTCCCATTAGCTTCTTGACGGTTCATTTCTCTTGTTCCTTGTAATTTGTTGATGTAGATTGGTAATATCGAAGAATTATTTTAATCGAGCGCCACGTTGAGATCGAAACCTGACGAGTTTTGGTGTAAGTAAGCGCTTGTCTTGCTCATCGTACGATCGTCTCGCTAAGTAATGCATGTTGAATAATCCTTTGTTGTTGCTGGGGAATGTTCATTTTAGATAGTTAAGGACTGCAGTCGTTACAACTTCAATCTTCTTACTAAGAGGAGAATCATCGCATCCTTATGCATAACAATTATGGCGCTTTGGTATCTTGTATTAGAGCTCAGCTCATGGTCATGTCAAGAGCTTTACAAAAGTTGGAGGTGGCGAGAACAAATATGAAATGCAAAGAGTATTAGTGTTTGTAATGCTGCTTAAAGTAGGTTAGTAGACATACTTGCTACTCCATGACTGATTGGACATTTGTTTCTTTTTTTATTCTTATTTTTCTTTTTCTTGAGAAGAATTAATTGGCAACTTAGATATCAGGTTCGAGCAATTCCTTGAAAACTGGTACTTTAACAACTTTAACACTTTATATATCTTCCTTGAAAACTGGTACTTTAGATATCTTCCTGATGGTTTCCCTTGAGATGGTGTGGTAGAAACTGCTTCATGTCCTTGAACAAGTTTAACACTTTATCCTTTATGGATCAACAAGCAAAGATATTTTTGGTCCATGGTCATTTTATCTCCTATTTTGACATGCAACGGTTACTTAATCAGGAATTTGTTGCACGTTTGACATAATTTTTTCTGTCATTGGCTAATGATGTGCTTGTACTTATCTTCTTCCAACTTGAATTTCTTATAAGTTGCCTGTACAATGTTTCATTAATTGAACAATCCTGACATGTTTGGTTGCTACGCAGCCTAGAACTAGCCATCTTCATGCTCCAATATACAGGTGAAATTTTACCATATGGGTCCCTTGTGTAGTTTCTTTGTGTATAAATACTGAGTTGTACTTCACCAGTGACTTGCATCGGTAGGCATTGGAGATAGTCCACTTTCATGCAGAATCTGCTCTAATGGCCCCAATAACTTACTGAACAGAATGAGGTGATAAACTCTTGATTGCCATGAAAAATGGACCTACTTTTGTGATGGAAACTTGATGTAATGAGAAAGGGAAAAAGGGGGAAAACAAGAAAGCAAAAATGAGAAGGGAAGCTTGCTGTAAACAACTTGTAACCTATATTCTATTTGAAGTTATCTTGTATGACATAATAAAAAAACTTTATTCTATCTGAAGTTGTCTTGTATGACATAATAAAAAACTCTGGGATGACATTTTGGGTTTTATGAAAGAGCATCATAGTCCAAAACATTTGCTTCTCTTACCATTTGAATTCCAAATATATTTGATTTAGTTCATATGATCTGGAAGATTTTGCTGCTTGCTTCATCTCATGCGTCAAGATACTTCACTATAGTAATGAAAGCTTGTCGCTGAATCTTAGATGCTCTTTTAAGTTTTAGCGGCTGAATGCCGTTGTTACTACCAGATGAAATTTATATATGGAAACATGTCACTTGATCTGTATATATGAGAATTTTCAAGCATGTTGTTTAGTGGTTATTCTCTGCAACAAAATATAAATTATAGTCTAGCAGAGCTAACTAGGTTTCATTTACTTTTGCAGGTTAAAGTAAATAATTGGTTGAATGGTGATGAAAGACCAAGCTTAGATGGATTAAGTGCCAGATTTGGTGCCTTATTGCCGACCAGTGTCTCAAAAGCATTAAAACTCCCTGCTGTTCTTGCAAATCCATTTAACTCCTGCAACAATTTATCTTTAAAGGTCAATATCCAATTTTATCCACTGAACTAATGATATGTGCTATGGATGCTCGACAGATCCTTTTCTCATTCAAAGCTGCTTTTGTTTGATGATTAAATAGGCAATTGATGTCATTTAGAGTAGCAATTAGTTTTTTCTCTGTTAAATGCATTTCAGAAAAATGCCTTTCTGTCTTTATTGATGCTTAACTGGTTAAAAGATTGTGTTTTTTCCCCTCAGTAGCTTGCTATAGATTTTCTTTGCTGAATTGTGAACTCTGGTATGATGATTAATGATCATTGTAATTCTTAAGAAGTTTCTAGTCAAATGTTGACGTGAGCAGTTACAAATTCTTCATTGCTTCTCTATTGGAATCTAGATCATTTTTCTAAATTGTTTACCTGATTTCTTGTTGTCTTCTTTGATTCTTCAAGAACATCAGTACAGGCCTTATAGATCATTCCATGTCTTATGATGATCTGATCATCAAGATCACTCAGTAAAGAAATGAGACAAACATACAATAATAAATTGTAGATTATATTGAACAAAGGTCACCAACAAAGTATAAAGTAAGAGTGTTGAGGTAAATGATAACACTAGAGAAATTTTATGGGATCAAAAAGTTTTAAGTATTGTACATATTAAAAATAGGTAAATAAATAGGTGTTGTATTTGGAAGAAATTGATGCTAATACCAAGTTTTAAAATTTTGATCTGGTATGATTGCATTACCTTGTTGTTCTGGTATGGTATTAGTATACACAGCTCTTTTTAGACCTGTACCACTTGATATCACTGAAAAATAACAAGAAAGTGAATGCTCAACCAGTAGTGAGCCTTGGTTAGACTTGTAAATGCTAATTGGTACAAACTGGTCTGACCAGTGACCAGTATTTGAAAATTTGACTCTGCAAATTATGTGCCAATGAAAAATCATATTAAAAGACTAGAAAAAGAAAATTTTGAAGTGTTTAAAGTTAATAGCCAATAAAAAAGTAAATTGATAATGGTGCAATGAAGTTCAGAAAAAATAGTTGTTTAAAGGACATATTAGAAATCATTACTTGAAGTGCAAGAGTTATTTGGTGTAAGTTATATAGAGAATAGGTTAGAAAACTATTATTGAGGATTATGAAGCATATGGTAGGTTTTATAGTAATGAAATAAAGGTGAAGACAATAACATGTATAGGCTTTCTAAGGCTAGAGAAATGTAACAATGGAGGACGTTGAAATAAAGGATAGCACAAATTTTATAAATGAAGAATGTACAATATCATTGTTTTGGAATTAAAAAATAATGATATGCTTGTACATCAAGGATTATATTATCATTGTTATTGTGATAAATTTATAGATTCCTTCTCATCCTTGAAGATTGTTCAAAATTAAGAGCCTAAGTTCGACCAACACACCGGTGGACCTAGAAGTGAGTCCTAGCATCCAATCAACACCTATGGATGACATGGAGGCCTTCGTCATGATGTTGTACAACTAAATTCTAGATTTGATTGCCATAAAACCCCACATGATAACCAGATATATATTTAATTGTAGCCAAGTATTGCCTTTTTGGATAATTTGTCGGACTAGTACATACCGATTTGTACCAGTGTACTAACACACGGTATGCTGGTGTGTATTAGTGTTTCGATGAGGAAGAAAAAGAGGGTGAAGAGGAAAGGGCGATAGAGGAATAGAGAAGGAGGACGAAGGAAGGAAGAAGAAGAAGAAGAAGTACAGAGACAGTGTACTTGGGAAGTAGCAGTAGTGATGAAGCAAAAGCGGCAGCGTCACAGTAGGGAAGACGCAACATTGCAGCGACGAAGTAGTAGCGACGAGGGTAGCAACATCATACACAAGAATAGGGCTTGCATTCACAAGCCCTAATTTGCCCTTTTTTTTTTCTATTTTAACATTGAGTTGGACAAGGGCCCACCACTTTTTATTTTTTTATTATTTTAATCGGACCACCTGAAACGGGGGTGGTCCACGTATCGCTGCATGCTCGGACCAGTACATACCGTCCATACCATGCCATTTCATGTGCTACAACAATCCGTGGTTGTAGCCATGATATGAAACCTCAATATTGAACCTGAATCGATCCTTTGGTGGACTGAAAAGTTCAGTACACATCAATGTACCAACATATGGTATGTAGACATACCAGTTTGTGGAGACTAAAGAGTAGGAGGGAAGGAGAGGAGGAGATGAGGATAAGGAGAAGAAGAGAAAAAGAAGGGAAGAGAGCATGGAATACAAATTCAGGTCCATGGCCGGACTAGTATATGTCTTGTACATGCCTGGGTATCAATGACATGTACCACAATCTCATTCTGATAGGAGAGAGAGGATAGAAGAGAGGGGGAAGAAAGAATAATATGGAAGCATAAGAGGAAGAAAAGAGAAGAAAGAAGGAGAATGGGGAGGAGGTAAAGGAAGAGGAGGTGGTGGAGGAAGAGGAAGCTAAAAAGAGGAGAAGATATACTAGAGATGAGGCAGGCAACATGTAGCAACAATTAAGTGATAGAGAGTAGAGATGGAGATGCTTGTGAGAGTCCTAAAGGTGCATGGTGGCTTTCAAAAGAGAACAAAATGCTATCACTTGAACAAAAAACCAGATTGGATTGCCTGAAATGTGACAATCTATGTCCTGGTTCATGGATGAACCGGTAAATACTGGTCAGTACAAAATTGAATTCCATAGAAGAGTGATCAGGGACAATCTCAATAGTCCTCAACCGAATCGGCCAAGCTCTATTGATGGGACTCTTGAATCCTCAAGGCCCTATTTAGCCAAGCAAAGCCCATATCACAGTAGCCCACTGGCCTCAATCCCAATTCCAGTTGGACTAGAATTAGGGCAGTTCTAACCCAAATAGGGGCAGCCACAAGAAGAGGGTGGCGCCAACTCCTAATAGGAGTAGAACTTCCATGTGCCAACCCTAAACAAGTGTCAACAATATTAGGACTTTCTAAGTCTTAAATACATTAGGATTCTTGTCCTAAAGGCATTAGGACTCTCCAAGTCCTAAAGATATTACTGTATTAGGACTCTCCAAGTCCTAACCTGTTAGGACTCTACCCCTTCCACAACAATAAAAGGAGGAGAGCAGCCCCATCCAAAGTATCACCAAAGCAACCAAGAAGCCAGCAGCAAAGAGCCTATCCAGCCCTAGTTTTTCCAGTCATAGAGCAGCGAAGAACAGTGAGAAGAGAAGGGAAGAAATCTGCACAGTGCAGCCAATTCCTCCCAGCTGCAACCTTCTTTTGCAAGTTCCAGCAGCTTAAAGCTCTACACCAAAGCTTCATCTAGTTACTGTGAGCAGTCTTCAATGCCTACTGCTTGCTATCCAAACCACAAGAGGAGGTTCCAACAACGAAGAGAGGAGACCGAAAACCTGTAGCGACTGCAACCTATTGAGAGCACCGATGTGCTGTCTAAAGACAACCTGCATTCTCATGCACCCATAAGCTTTCTATCACGTTTTTTATTCCATTGTTTCAAGTCTCGTGGTTAGTACTTTGACTTTACAAACAATAGGGGTTATTTTCTTTCAGTTTTTTGCTGTTTTTTTGTGATAATTCTCTCCACCAAAACTTTCAGTTGAATGGTGGTATCATGTCGACGAATTGTCGACCCCTAACCCCATACAGATCAAGTGGTATCGGAGCAACGTTCTTGTGGATGATGACCATGAGATATGAATACGAAGAGTCGGGCGAAGAACTATAGGAGTTGGAGTTCACACCACGATCATTTGAAGGAAGAAACACCAATGGGATGGCAATCAATGATCCAACAACGTTGGCTGACCTTACTGCACAGATGACAGTTTTAGCCCAATAGATGGAGATTGTCATGGGCTGAATGCAAGCCCAAAACAATCCTACAGCGAAGGATGACTGAGTAAAGAGTGCCGCAGCAAAGGAGAGAGAGTTGTTTCCGTCCGAGATGTGCAGTTGTGAAGAAGACGCTGCTAAACAAAACATCAGCAAGGACTCAACCCTTTCGCGTCGAGGCTCGCATCGACATATCCTCCTACAACGGCTTGATCAATGCTGAGGTATTAGACTCGTGGATATATTAACGTGATACTTATTTTGATCTATATGACTATAGCAACGAGGATAGGGTAATGCTTTCGTGACTCAAGTTGACTAGCCATGTGCTTGCATGGTGGAAAGCCAATCTTTGAACCAACAACAATGAAGACATATTATGGACATGATTCAAAAGGCTTATATGAGAGAAATTCTATCCTATATAAGGCATCTCAAAGAAAGATAAAGGAAGTGGCATTTCCTACGCCAAGGGACCAATTCGTGCAAGAATACACCATCGAGTTTCGACAAGC